TCACTTCAAACAACTATTTTCCTCTGATTTACAAGAATATTGAATTCGGATTAGCAGAAGCAGCTGTGAATTACATACGGGGATATGCGACAGTAACTTGACAGTTACAAAATCTGACCTTCATCTGGTTTGTCTATGGTCCGAACCCCGTTTCACCTCAAGATACAAGTTTTATTAGATTGAACTCCTTCTCATGTTCTGTGCGTTAAATTTAAAGTGATTAGATACTATTTGAGTCGAAATTTTTAGTTCCATGCTTCTTCAATCGGTTATGACCTGATATGGAATGTACTGACATTGGATGCTAGATTTGGATATGCGTTATCCAGACAATGAGGAAATGCTTATTCCTAGTCTAACTATAAGATAGATATTAATCAAAATCAATGTTACGTAATTTTTACAATATTCTCAATATACCTAGCACAGAACTTCGGAAAAATATCGCTTTTACAACTTGAAAATAAAAACAGATTTCTAGCCCCTACTTATGTGTTATTATCTATCGTAAGAGATATCTACGAAGGAATCAGTAATTAATACATTTTATTAAAGACAGAAACAGAGGGACAACATTGCGTTTAGAACGTTGACCTTGTTTAGTTAAATGGAGATAGCTATAACCAAATATTCGTAAATACCACAACAATAAGTAACACCTACTTTACACATTATTCTTTTATACATAAACCCAGTGATCACTCAGTTAATCACAAAAATTAACAATAGTGATATATTTACTTATTCATATTACTTTACTCGTCAATAATGAGAAAATATTTAATTATTTGATAGTAACATACTCGAAGACGTATTATTTGCTTTGAATGCTCTACAAGAATAGATCGTAAACGTTCTACTTGATTTTGAAGGACAGCATTAGTGTCCACTAATTCTTTACGTCTTTGATGTAAATCAATTAACTCGTCATGAACAGAATGATTGATACGCATTAATTCATCAATAAGAAATGGCAAAGTAGATGCTGAATTTAGAAGTAAATTTCCATTTTTTTCTTGATGGGAAATTTCTTTTCCTGTTAAATAATTCACAGATGTAAGTCGATGACTTGTTACAGATGGATATGGATTCCACAATGAAATAATTATGTAAAGAAATATGACAGTCAGCAAACATGTACACACGATCAGAAACTTTCTATTTTGTCTGATTAATAAATAAAAATTCTGCATATTAGGTAACAGATATATCATAATCCCGATAGACCTGTGGATAAGTTCGATGAACTAACTATTTCGCACTGCCTCTTGCCTAAATTTAGGAAATACAGAAAAAAAGAGTCAGTAGAAAATAATTACAAAGTAGTCAATATAACATCATCAAAAATATTTAGTGTTAAATAGTCGAAGGCTAGTGACAGGAAATTTTGTATCGAAGTATGTAATGACTGGTACTCACCAAGAAGGTTTATTTGTTGTAAGTTGGCCCAATTAGATGTAGAGCAATAATAAATGGGAGATATTGGCGGGCGCTCGTTGCTGGTCTAGATTTGGCTTAACTTTCTGCGGAAATATATACGTCCGTGGTTGAAAATCCGGCTTAATTTTAAAGAAAACAGACAAATTTATAAGTTGTGCATGTACTTTCGACTCAGTTTGCCAACAGAAGCATCTAACCCACTTTCTGTTTTCTCACTCAGGTAATTAGTTTGGTTACTTATATAATAAGTACATACATCAGCAGAGCAGTTGGACGGCTGCAGAATACAACAATCTGTAGTTTAAAAACCTGTTACCAAACGTTACAACCGTAGTCACCTCTGTGGAGTTAGCTATTCAGTTCACAGATGGTCTCTCGTTGAAATAATATACTTACATTAGTTAATCACTAAAGACTACACATGATATTCGTTTCTACTCAGCAAGCCCATATCAAATAACCAGAATTTAAGTGGTTTAATTACTTTGTTATCACTTCACTAACCTGTAATTTCAAAGTGCACTACGACCACTTTAGTTAAAGCATTTACAATATGCCTAACCCTCATACAAAAATTAATGTAGAGATGTTTAAATAAACATGTACATTGGATAGTCATGGAATAGTGATGACTAACGGTATGTTTGTCCCATCTTTGGTGGTGGTCAAATTCCATCGATCAAGTTTTAACGTGACCACTAGTCTAGACAACGCATGCACTGTTTTGTTGTTAAACTATTGGAATTAGTTGGCAGGAAACCCTGGACTTGGAGTTTTGTGCTAGTTGGTACTCGCCAGCAGCGCTTATCTGCAACCGTGAAGGAACTGATGTTCCCGGTGAGATTTGAACCTAGATCATCATTAGTTGGTCAATGGTTTCCATTGTGATAACGACAGTGGTTTTTCACCTAAACTTACTGAGAACAAAATATTTGATCAACTATTAACTAATATTAATTTAAACGAAAAGGAAAACTAAAACATTTAAGTTGGATAGTAAAAATAATTGTCCGTCTATAGCTTACTTTTATACAGTACGATTTGTTGTGTTTTTTGTCTACGTTATTAATGAAGGTCAAAGTTTCTGCATAAATACTGTAGTTATAGGGTGCACCAAACTTAAGACGACAAATAACTTCATGACCCTTTTTGGAATGACTAGATATCATAGCGATTTATGTATGTAAAGCTAATTTCATCTGATTGTTGCTAAGCTATTAAAGATGAAAGTGATTAGTGTAACGAATGTTTAAACAGTATCATGGCTTAACTATGTTCACTAAAATTAATTAAAATGGCAATCCTACAGATACCAAATAAATATCAAGGGACTAAATTACAATGAGTGCGGTTTGAATAATTATCGCTCATCAAAAACTTATTGCCTCTCTTTAATCAACTTACCACTCAACTGGTTTAAAATAATCTACACAAGTTCATGATTATAAGCTAACCAGGAGTTATATATTTATTCACTTGCCTTTCCCACCTACAAACAAGTGCTTTGATCAAGTGGAGAGAAGATGGTTCGATATATCAGCATATTACGAAAGGCAGACAAATTAAATACAAAAATGAGGGGATACTGAGAAAACCAGTATGAGAAACATAACTTGCCTGTATTAATGAGCAACACCAAGTAATAAGTATTGGGACCATAGTAACAAATGAAATGTTAGATAAGATTTGATAACTAATTGGGTTTTTTAGATGACGACCAAATTATTTATTTATTTGAACGCATAAATATTGGTACAAGAATGCGCCAAATATATATGCGCCACACAAAACAATGAGAATTTAAGGGGAAGGAAAAAATGAGAATAATAACGAAGAGATTGATGTAAGGTGATGTAATAATAATAATGGCAAAAATGGGGGAACGGAAAGGTGCAATCACAAGAAATCTTTCAGTTAGGAAGATACAACCACTTTTTATGAAGAAATTAAAAGGTTACAGCAGGATCGCCACTGGCTTCTATTCTGAGCCATAACTGATAACGTCTCTAGCCACTGTGTCGCGCCATCTCTCGGACCCCAGCCAGGGAGTCGTGAAGGACCAACACAAGCCAGTCCTTTGCGGCTTTCTTTCATACCACGACACCATGTCATATACTGACCACCTCTCAGCTTTATCCAACCAGTCCCAGAGTCGGCAAATAATGCACGACGTGGAATTCTGTGGGACGACATTCGTAGAACAATTGGATTATCATCTCTGTGCCCGAACACACGATGCCGAACCTCTGCATTACTGACATGGTGTAGCCACTAGATGTCAGCAATCCTTCGGAGACAACGATGATCGAACACCGAGAGTTGTCTAACATCGCAAAACTCAGAGAGGCCAGGTTTCACAAGCATAGAGCAAAACTGCTCTCACCGACGCGTTGTAGATCCGACCTTTTACAGCCAGACTGACATCACGAAGGCGCCAAAGATGGCCCAGATTGGCCGCTCTGGCTTTCACTATACGTGCATTGATATCATCACTCACGCCACCACCAGCACTTATGCAGCTACCTAGATACACGAACTTCTCTACCATTTCTATCTGCTCACCATCCAGAGTGAGTACAGGATTAGAATCCTGCCAGTCTTGTAGAAGTACTTTGCACTTTGAAGGTGCAAAGCTCATACCGTACCTACGGACGTTGATTGCCAACTGATTAAGTGCGGATTGCACGGCTTGGGCATTATCGCACAGTAAGACAATATCATCTGTATGTGAATCTTTAACCAACAGTGTCAAATAAGAAGTATAGCCACTAGTTAGAATCGTAAAAGCTACACCACAATAATTATGTTAGATTTTGAAGGAAATCGATCTCCCTACAAGTAACAAACGTCACGTGTATGTAATATGCGATGTAGGCTTAGTAACCCTTACTAATTAAAACAAGATTTGAGCCATGGAGGCTGCAAGAAATTTTGTGGCTACTTGCTGAATATCCACAATGAAGCATCTTTCGACTTAATAACTCGAAACCACATTAGCTGTTCTAAATATGGTTTCGTCAACTTGTAAGTTGACCTATGCATATATATGTCGTACCAACAATATGTGATATATATATATATATATATATATATATATATATATATTCCATCTTGGGCCTGATTACATAAAAGTGAATGGGTGTAAAACGAGGATAATGCCTTTGTTCTCTCGTTTCCTTATTTTACATCTGCTTGAGTAGCATTTTTTGTTTAGGGAACTATTTTTAAACCACTAACAGTCGTTATTAAATGCTTTTTGTAATAGCAATTGTCAATTAATTGACAATATATCCTTAAATTATAATTTAAGGATTAGCTAGATAAAGCTAGGAGTACTCAATCCCATACGAGACGCGAATACGACACTTCATATCATATGATAATATCTTAACTTAGAATGTATATGAATTAATTAATATTGACTGACATCGAATAATGCTCGATAAACTTACCACACCTGAATAACAAAAGTTGGTTCATCCATAAATTATAGCCGTTCCGTTGAATATCTCGTTTATTTTTATGAGTCACAATAAATTTTTCAATTGGGTTTTGGGTCCTATGAGTATTAAATGTTTCCATATATAAGTCATCTTTTGATGCATAATAAACACTAAATAACTGCTAAGAGCATTAACTGAGTATTTTCTGTTTTGTAGTGCACACTTTAGCTCTGTTGTTCCTTCGAAACTTGATCTGTGGTCCTAAGTGCTGTAGTGAAAGTCAACAGCTATATATAATTTGTTGATAAGGTCCAGAAAACAACGTAAGAAAGATAAAATAACGTAAAAGGTTATAGATGCGCATAGTTTTTGTGAGTTAAGACGAAATGTCAACTGAAGGGTAAGTCCTAAATATTTGTTGTTCTTCCTTCAGTTAATTTTTTCCAAGGAATAACCTTTTTTTAACAGCTATTGTATGTTGTCTCTAGTGCTTCATGCTCAAGTGAAATTTCAGTGAACGTAAGCGACGCGTTCCAACGTATTATGCTGAATAAGAGATTCGGAAGCTGGATTGAATTAGATAATGCGCTAAAGGATTTCCATAAAGTATGATGGGATAAATCTATGTTTTCTCAGATGACCCATACACACTATGTTCACGCAGAAAGTAGATTGTTGAAGGATGTGAGATATAAATACTTGTTCGTAGTGTTTCGTTGCACGTTTGGTCGTAAACGTAAATCAGAAGGTCTGAATGTGATTAAAAAACCGTGAGGACTCTAACTAATGTGTTACCTTTAAGGTCTAAATTTTTAAATTGCCAATCGATGTTTCGCGTAAGATTGGAGGGTCAACAATACGTTATAAAATCTTACATGACTCACAACCATCCGTGTACTAGTTCGTGGATGGTTTGTGATCCGTTGAGTAGACGATTGTCATCAGAAGAAAAAGAAAACTTGAAACCAGTTATATTGCACTGTCAGTCGACGGACGAAGTTATCGAAAGTATTAAGGAAAGAACAGGTAAGCAGGTGACCGATGCTGATGTCAAAAATATGAAAGCTGAACTCTCCACTGGTAAGTGTATATAAATATATTTCAGGTTGGACTCGGAAGCAGGTATTGCAGATGATGCGACAAAACGGTCAAGTTAGAGAGCATGCAGAAAATGGATCTATTACGGCGGTATGCTTCAGCAGTTATGATCAGATACGGCTGTACAATCAATATCCCGAAGTCGTGTGTATTGATTCTACTTATAAAACTAATAATAAAAAGTGAATATGATTTTCGTTTTGTTCTACTATGTAGGTATTCATTATTCCAGTTAGTGGTAACAGACAATTGGGGTCGAGGTCGAACTGTTATGTTTGCATGGACAAAAAAAGAAAAGCGTGCTGATGTTACGTGGAGTTTGGATAAATTCAAGGAGATAATGGGTAACACGACCAAAACAGAAACATTTGTGATGGATTGCGCACGATCTGAAAGCGCGGCTGTCCGTATAACACACGGGCATGCAAACATTATTTTGTGCGCCTTTCATGTGATTCGCGCTTTCCGGAAAAAGGTACACCAATGGTTGGTTACATAAAATTTCTTTTAGACAAATGATAGAAAAAGCATGGAAGACCAAATAATCAGTGGACGAACATACAATTATGATGCTCCACAGCGTCTTATACCCTTGCTGAACATGTTGACCCCATTCGCAAGATCCAAAGTGTTATACGAACTAAAAAAAAATGCGTTTCGTTAACTTAGAATATGAAAGCGGCGAGTGGTTGTTTATGCTTGACCGCGGACAACATTACGAAGTAGATGTAAGTATTTGTGAATGCAATTGTAGCACGTTTAATATGTGTCGATATCCGTGCCGCCATCTCCTGCTGGCATATATTAAAAGACGAAGTCTAACAGGTAAGCTATTTAAATTATCAAATATAAACTGCATAGCTCATCAACTTCTTAGGTGTTGCTGTAGATGAAAATTAGACAATACGCACAATTTACAAAACAACACAGTAATTTCATTACGGAGACGAAGTAAAGAATATATACAACTTCAACGGCTCCAAAGAATGTGCAAACAACGAATTGTTGAGAAATATGGTGAACGCTTCGCGAATCAGGTGGAGAGAAGGGTCTACAATTTTTACTTAAGAATTATAAACAGCTAGACAGCAGGTTTACGATTAACAGTTCTTTGTGGCTTTATTTTATACCACTATTTATACAACTTGTAAACTTATCTTTCCACTTTAGTAGTCATGAAAAATCAATAAACTTTTTCTCATTTTTTATTTTCGTCTTCTTCATACTTTCATGGGGAGGTTTACCAATCGCTTTAACGAATAATTGTGTGTGAAAATTAAGAATTTGTACTACTGTATTAGTTACGAACTGTCGTTAGAACTTAGCGTTATATCGTTGTTCATTGTCAGGAATCAATGAGTCAAATAAAACAATAATGCGACTTCCACGTAAAACCTTACAGATTAAACAACCGCCTTACATATTTTCCGTTGTCAGATTACGTCCATTATCAAGTTAGTATTAGTATGAAACTAGACAATTTCATGCAGCTAGTTCCTTGATAAGATGGATTACGTAATCCTTAGACCACCCTTCCACTCACACTTCTTTGCTAAATTATGTTAACTCTTCAGATTGTCTTCACTTATCTTATTAGTTCTTAATTCAATGATTTATTCATTACATCTAGAATTATCACACAATTTATCTTATATGCTTCTGAGCTTCACTCGACTATTACGCCACCCATCCTTTATGTTCCCTTAAGTCTAACACCAAATGACCTTTGACCTGTTCAAGCATATACATATGTATAGTTATTATTGATAACCTAGGTCATTCCAATTCTTTGCTTTCTATTATCTTTCATACTATTTCTTCCCTCAATCTTAAATTATAATGCATATTCAGTTGTATGCAACTTATAAGAAACCACGAAATGTAATGCAGTCACATGATTGTGCGTCAATATTTGTTTTGGCTTTATTTAGACCATAATTATACAAACTTACAGGATTTATAATATAAAACACTGCGTATGGTTGTTATATTTATATTTATATAATTCATTAGATGAATGAGCATAGCAGTAGGCAATATAAAACAGTTATCGTAAACTTGTAAACCGGTTTTCCACACGATCTTCCGTAATCCTAAATTCCATAAGCTTCATACTATTCTGAAAAACAACAAATCCGTTTTGAGACAAACAATTAAACTTTGTTCTCAGTATCATATTCAATAAGTTATTCAAATAGCAAGTAACAGACTGTGCCTATAAGTCTTTTATTAACAAGTAGTGACATTCATTCATAACTTCCTAAGTAACACAACAACTGTATTACCGAAACGGAGTGAAGAGTATATAATAACTCATTTGTGAACCCTATAACAGACACGTCACAAATCAGTATTAACTAAAAAACATGGTTGTGTCACCATTCTCACAAGAAACACCGATCGTTTTATTCATGAAGATTTTGTTCCTACTTGATGTGGTGTTATACACTATTACTGCAGACATTCAGAAAGCCGCTGGACAACACTATAAACGTCAATTGTTACTCACATATTTTTTATACGTTACATAATTATGTCACTTCAGTACAAAACAATGGTACCTCTAATGGATATAACTTTTTATGGCTAAATACAAACAAGTTATATAATATTCACAATTAGGTTAACGCTTGATTGCTTCTACTTACATTTTATAAACAACTACCGACATCCATGTTCACCGTCACCGCAATCAAGGAGGTGAACCATATGTAAAAGATTTTACGGTTCATTTGCATGAAAACTCAATCTGTGATGTATTTTTTGACTAGAAACATGGTGAACTTTACTTGCTTGAGTTTGTATTGTTACAAATAACTATATTAAGCTAACTTCAGATTTACTTACGTGGTGAGCAAGAAATACGTCAAACTGCCAATAAATTGGAATAAAAACTATGTTACAAGCACTAGCAATACAGAAATTGATGTGTCATGCAAAAAAGCCTGTTAATAGCTGATAAATAACGACACAAAAAATCCACGACAATATGTAACGTGTGCGCGAAAATCCCTGGCTTACCCGTTTGACATTTACAACATTCACAGTATCCGCAAGGTCATAACACTTTTACGTAGCGCACTGAACAAATGTTCAGCAGGTGGTCAACCTTGTAATAAAAATTCTATTCTCAATGCTTGTTGTGGCATTTAAGATCTACAACCTACGTGTTAGAGATATTTAAAAATATTGAATAGTACATATTGCGATAGTGGTTTACAAAAAATGAAACACCACGTAAGGCTGGAGAAATATCGCCGACGTCTATCCAAATCACCTATCGAATAGGACCATTACTACGTTAGACAGAATACCACTGAGCTCTGAAGAATTTCCAAACCCCATCAAAGTCAACAATAAACAACAACGATTCATTAGCCGAAGATCATAGACGGCCCATTTGGTAGTGTCATTTCTATGTACTTTCCTAATCTGTCAGTAGTAATACGTGCTGTTATTTTTTAACTCTATTTATTCCATGTACTCGATAAGGTAGACGCATTACGTTGAGTCACCCGGGTTAGATATTAACCACTTAGTGTGTCTTCGACATAGGCTAGGAGGTTACATCATTCTTATCCAACTCGAGTAGACTCACCATTCACATAGATGATCTATCCACAATCAGCTGTTTTTGACTGTCTTCAGCCGTTTCAGTCGACAGATACGACATGCTGTTAACTACCATTTATTCGCTAGTGACTATCTTCGTTAGGGGATTCTCAAAGTCCTAGGGAGAAGCCGTGACCAGTGGAGCTAATCCGTGTTGGGTAGAGACAGGTATCTATCTCCGTGCAATTTCGTGGATTGGTTGAGGTTAGAAATTAACGCCATTGGATGCCAGCTCAGTTGTCCAGTAGGTTAAGTGTTCGTGCGTGAGACTTAGGGCACGTGGTTCGAATCCAACGAGCGAGGTCGTGGATGCGCACTGCTGAGGAGTCCCACAATAAGACGAAACGGCCATCCGGTGCTTCCAGGTTTTCAATGGTGATCTAACATTATTCAGTTCATGATCTCAACGGAAAACATAACAGTTTTAGCCCAACTTGGATTTAGTCAACGCTCACTATTATCACTCATTGTTTCCATGGTTCATGTATCAGCAACAAAACACATGCTTAAAAACTGTCACGAAGCTGAACATGGCGATGTACGAGCTAGCTTTAAAATATATTTTGGTGGAGTATGTGCTGTTACATGGATGTTGAATAATGTCAAGATGTACCTGTAAGATCCATTTTGAAGGTTTAGTGTGTTGGTGAAATCCCTCCATGTATATACTTGTACTTTGTTCCTATTGATCCCCTTAGTTGGACATTGTTGTATTTTGATTACATTTGAATTGTTAATACTTGTATTTTTTATTATAGTTTTTGTTTTCTTACGCATTCACTAAGTTTGTGTTCCTTCCTGAACTTCATCTGTGTTGTTTTACTTGACACTTGTTCTTGGCGGTAGCCATATTGATTTGCTCCTCCTTTTGTGTGTGTTCTATCCAGTCAGGATAGAATAACGTTCATTTGTTTTGACTGGTAATTTTCCCTCATCTTCTATCAACTTACTTATTTATTGTAATTTAGATTTGATTGATTGAACAATTATTGGTTGAATAGCCGGGTGGTAATATTTGTTTAGGTAACGATTTACATTTAAATTTATGATGAATTATAGAACCGCTATTTACCCGATTACTTGTTTTGATTTCGACGGGAAAGGGCGCGTGTCTAAAGTCCCCGGTCGGCTATTCTTCAACATCCAAACCGTGGTTTGGATTTTACAGTACCTGAGAACATTCTATACCATTCCTTTCGTCAACACTTACTGCTCAAATTCTGTTGTTGATTAGCTTTGTTATACACAAGACCATCAAGAGTAGGTGCACATTCATGACAAAATAGCGTCTTATTAGCGACACTTTAAGTTAGTGACATCATAAGACATTAATCAGAGAATGTAACCTGAAATCCAAGTTCAGTAGAATAGATTAACAGGCCCGTCTGGTGATATTTGCAAGGACAGCACTAAGATTTTAAACGGCTTTATGTGCAAAACATCTTATGGGACACTCAATGTAATGTGTTTGGACTACTAAGATCCAACTATCACGTTTTCGAGCTATATACTGCAGAATGCTGATCTAATTATTTTCGAACAAACATATTTCCGCCTGATGGTGAACAAATCAACATTTTCCAAGACAATTCAAGTCGTAAAATTCGATCTACTCAAAATTGTGATCTTCATGAGCAAGCACAAGCCTGTTAGATCAGTTGGATTCGGAAAAGACTCTCAAGATAGGAGATTGATCTATGCGGCTTCTCTCTTGCTACTATCTTGAGAGATTACTTTATATATGACATGACCTTTTTTACTGAGAAAAGGGTACAGTTATGTTCATTCATAAGCATGTTTCGTTGATCTTTTCCGTCATGAACGTTAAGTAAAAAGTTATTGATCAACCTCACTGAAACCATCTTTTCAAAGGCTATTCCAACATAGTTTTCTTGCAAATGGATCCTGTAAAACTAACCTCTTGACTGCCTCTCATTGATAAAATTGCCTTAAAAGTGCACAATCACCTGGCGCTTATGTCCTCCTAGATTTATTCAAAATATTTCTCCGAAACTATATCTCACACTTATCATTTAATGCGCTTGAACGTGTCTAGGTACTACTCAATGAAGTTGAGAACCTCAGTGTCCCTTCTCGTTTATCTAATTGATCTAAAATAACAGTTTAAGTAACAAAACGTTTCACCCTTAATCTACTTTTACAACTACTGCCTATGAACGAAAGAATATGTTCGCTGTATTCTCGAACTCTTTCATGTGAAGATGATCGCAAGATTTGAAGGGAGATTAAAAACCTTTCAGACATCTCAGCTTTCCAAAATGACTTGAACAGGATAAACAGTTTACGTACTCTGTGGAGGGAAATTCGAAAACTATGTACCCTTTCGACAAAAGTGTTCAAAAACTTCCCTTGATTGTTTCGCTCGAGGCAGTGTTTTTGAATAACCGACGGAGCGAGGATGAACTATATCACTATCCAACATTATTATTTAGTACTCATTCATTCAAGGAGCTAAGGTGAAAAATTAACGTTAGTAACCCGCACTTTGGGAGGCATAGTTACCTTCTGTTTGAGGTGTGAACTTTACATACTTCGAATGCGAGTCTACTAAATACATCGTTGTCTTGCAGGATGT